TCTTTTTCAAGGTTATTTGAATGTTGTTTTTAATGGTTACTAGGGGAGAATGTTGAACCAGAACAAATAGAAGAAGTAGCAATAAGAAGCAATTTAATTCAACAAATAGTTGTCATTGGTCAGGTAACACTTCAAAATTTAAAACCTTCATTTCCATTTCTTTTCAGATCCTTTTATTTTCCTTTAATAAAATAGTAAATTACACTTTTCGTCCCTAAGTATAACTGATTTTTGCAAGTTCGATCCCAAAATGTTTTCTCTTGCAATTTTGGTCATTATTTGAGGTTCTTGTAACTTTTGAGGTCCCTGATCCAAGTATAATGACTACTTTTGGTTCCCCAAGTATAGCTAATTTTTGCTATTTTGGCCCCAAAATAGTCGTTTTACTTGGAACGGGGACCGAAAACGTTACTAAAACCTCAAATAATGACAAATTTCCAAGAGAAAACTTTTTTGGGACTTAAATTGATAAAAACATCTATATTCAGGGACCAAACATGTAATATATATTGTTCTTAATAAAATAAGGCTATTTATTTTTATTTTTCATGTTACAAATGACAACTAGGATCAGCGTCGTCTTGGAGCTATAATTGTTCCAAATAAAGAAGAAATTCTTTTGGCATCAAAAAATGCGTCCATGTCAGCTTCTTCCGGTAACGCTCAACTTACCAAAGACCAAATGGCTGGCATCTTATCTCAAGAGCTTCGTAAATGGTAACCAACTTTACTTTATCTCAAGATATTTTAACAAATTTAAATAATGACCTCTCGAAAGTCTAGGGAAGTCGACTCTGTAATCACGTCTTTTGTTTCAATCATTCAGTAAATAGTCTATCAATTCTTGTAATTCTACCCCAGGTTGTCTATATATCAAATAGTTTAACTAGATTTATCTTGTCATGCAGGACATCTGATTGCTCATTTCAGGTGGGACCCATTCTTGTCATTGAAGAACCTTTTATGGTAATTCCGCTTGCATTTTATCTTTCTTTTTTTAAAACGATTATCTTTTTCAGAAGGAAAGAACATAATATGAAGCTTTTCCCATTAAGTCGCAACTGTGGATTTAAAGACTTATAGACACAATTATTTTTTATGACAACACTTTGGAATTACAGATTGATAATGGTTTGATGACTGCAACCATGAAGATCCGAAGGAAAAAAGTTGTAGAACTATATAAAGACCAAATAGATGATTTATACAAGTAATCTTGTATGTTTAATATATTTAGAAAAAAAAATACATAATGTGTATGTACTTTCTCCATGGCTAATAATCTATATTTTGGTAATTTATGAGTGAAGACATTTCATTTTTCATGTAAAATTACAAATTTGTTTTTCTTAAAAACATCCTTTTCAATATTCGTCACAAAATAACCATCAATTTTGCAAAAAGAACCATACATTGTTTATTTTATTTTTTTGTAAAATTGCCTAATGAGGGTCCCACTAGAAGTTTGTAATTTATCTACATAAATGTGTAGTTGGACCATTCAATATTCATAAGGCAAAACAATATTGATGGTTATGTTACACTAAATGTTGGTTATTAGGTGACAAGGCACCACTCATTTTGGCTATATTAGTTATCTTTAATAGTTTAAACTTGCTTAACTAGCTTTAAATATAATCAATAAGAAATACTGAAATAGGTTTGTCAAAGCATCTCCAACCTACTCTTATTTTTCATTTTTTCTCTCATTTCTCTTCAACCCTACCCCATTTATTCCCCCATTTTGGGGGAAATGAATAGTATAACACCAAATATGGTGTTATACTATTCATTTTCCCCAAAATGGGAATGAACGTTGAGTTGTCAGTTTTAATCCTTCTTTTTATATATTTATACATTATTAGTTTATTTTATTTACTAATTATAATTTAAATGTATTATTTAATACTTATAATATTGTATTATGTATTAAATTATATTAATTAATTATAAATATATATTTTATTTTTTGTTTATCAAATTCATATGAAATTTTAAATAAATATTGAAATTTTAAAATAAGATAATGTATTTTACAAAAGCTTATAATTAGGTGTTATAAATATAATCTTATTTATTTAATAGTATTGTAATGAAAAAAATATAGATTATATATTTGTTAAAACCAAATTACTAGAAGAGGTATGATTGACAATCTATATAAGTTGGAAAAATGAAATATACAAGGAATATACTTTTTAGAGGTAAAAATAAGGTAAAAAAATAAAGTAAGGTTGAAGATGAAACACTATTTATCCCATTTTTTACTCCATTTTTGAATCTCATGGATATGCATTCTTTAAGAGAAGTTTAGAATAAACTTCATAAGGTTGTCGAAAATGACCACCATTCTTGATTACATTTAACAATTTGATCATCCTTTTAAGAAATTACCAAAATATTATTAAGTTTGCAATTTGAAACCCTGTTATTCTCTCCTCCTTTCGGTATTTCGAAACTATGTCCACTTTCATCCTTACCTAATAAGATTTTCATAAGTTAATTATTCATCAATGAACCAAGAAACCAATCTAAAACGTCTAAATTTAAAGCGAGCAGCGGCAAAAGGAATGATTATAGACTTTTACAATGGACGTACATACACTAGATTATTACAAAACTTCATTCCTTTTTTTAGTTATATATATATATATATATATATATATATATATATATATATATATATATATATATCATTGCTCGTTATTTTTCGTCCTCTTTCCATAGAGATCAATAATAATATATAAAAACTAATTTTTTTTTCAAAAAACTTATTTCATTTTCTTTGTTTGTTGAAAAGTTAAGGTCTATTTTTTTGTAGAAAAAAATTAATAAATATTTCAAACTTCATATTTTTTGGTATATTTTAAACATAAATTCATATTGATGTTTAAAAAAAATTGAAATTTCAGTTCATATTCATATTGTAAACCTGCTCAAATTCACAATATGAACCAGCTCAGATTCACAGTGTGAATAATAGTAAGTCAGATTCACAATTTGAATAGATCCATTTGTTGATTTTACAAAACTAATTTATGAGTAATTAAAACGTTAAAATATTATAAAACTACATGAAATATATTTTGATTCATATTTAAATTTCACGAAGTTAATTTGCGAATAATCAAAGAGTTTAAATAGTAAATCAAATTCACATTGTGAATGTTAAAAATTGAAATATTTACAGTTTAGACTAACTGACTGAACTTTTCACATTGTGAATGTTAAAAATTGAAATATTTACAGTTTAAATTCACAATGTGAATCTACACTGATCGATTTTTTTTAATCGATGTTGATGTTTATTAATAGATTACAAAAAACTAATATTTTTGGTATAATTAATTTTTTTGGATAAAAATAAACTTAAATATTGAAAAAAATAACAAAATGAAGTGAATTTTTTTCGAAAAAAATTCATTTTTTATATATCAACATGGATCTCTATGTAAAGATGACGAAAAATCATAAACAACGGTATATTATGTTTTTTTCCACAAAAAATGTGGTCTAAAAAAATTTAAACAAAAAAAGAGGTAGGTTTTTAGTAAGGAGGATGAGAGATGGGATAATAACCGGTGAGACTCAAATTAAAATTTTCAAATGTGGTTTCAAGTTTACGGTGAGGAGATACAGATATGTGGAGTCTATTAATTTTTTTAAATATATAAAAAAATAAATACATAAATAAGAAAATTAATTAAAAAATAAATTAATAAGGGCACAATAGTCTTTTTAGGTAAGATGGATCAAACGTGCAACAATAATAAACAGTATGAACCATATAATTTTAAAAAATAAGTTAGGGACCAAAAACACAAACTTCCTCAAACCACAGGGACCATTTGTGTAATCTACTCTTACTTTTCGTTTTGTTCATATTTGGGTAACTATTTTTTCTATACATATCTAGGTAACGAACTTGTTGAAAGTGTTCACATCTAGGATGTGACTTTCTATAACCGGTCATAATGGTCATATGTGAAGACTTACAACAAGTTTGTTACTCAGATGTGTATAAGAAAAAGATAGTTACCTAGATATGAACATACTGAAAAGTTAATTACCTTGTCAACTCATTTTCCCTATAACAAAACAAAAAGTTAGCTTTTTTATAATATAAATTTTCTTTCTAGTAATTTAATTATCATGAGATATCCTCTCTAATAAATGAAGGTTCTTTTTTGTCATTTGTTATTTTATCAAAGTTTTGCCACATGTTATTATATGAGATTTTACAATTATTTAAATTTCACATGTCATTATATGGTATCTTTATTTTTTTATTAATCAATAGTCAGTTCCACTAAATTATATATGTAAAGTATTCATTCTATTTAAATGTTTATTAATTTACAAATATATTTGAATTTAAATGGATGCTCTAATGACATAATTAACTGTATTTGATGATATATTATAATTCAAAACATACATTTAATATTTTGGACTTTTAATTTGAACTCTAACAAATTTATTATTTATTTAAATTTTATAAATAAATATGTATGTATAATATATCTGTATCTCTATCCTAATAAATGAAAAAAAACATCATCTTCAAAGAAGTATTTGAAATTTTGATTCATAACTATTTAGAATATATTAATAATTTTTTTATCAGTATAGATTCAATAACTATTTATTCATTATTTCGTTTGTATTATTTTGAAAGTTAATTTAAAAAATATTTAATATTTACACCTTAATATTCAACATCATTATTTAATATATGTCAATAGTTTCTTATTAGTATAGTTAAATTATTTACTTATTCGTTATATCGTTAGAATTTATATAAAAATATATTTTTTTTAAATATTTAATATTTATATATTAATATTAAATTTTTATTTTTTAATAAACTTGTATAGTTAACGGGTTCTGATCTACTAATTTAATTAGTTGATAATTAGTTGACCAATAACTTTGATTTAAATATATAAATTTCATTTATTTTGATGTTATATTCTTTTAAAATTGAAAAACAATTATTTGGAAAACGATATATATCGTTTCACCTTAAAATGCACACGGAATTTCTGCAATGCGTTTGGTCTGAAAGCATATACACTGCCGGATGTGTTACGAATCTTCCAATGACTCGCTGTGTTCTCTCTCTCCGGTCTTCTCAATTTCGGAAAATTCAAAGCTTCACCTACTAAAACTCTGATCCACTTCACACACACACACAACATACAACATGATTGTTCGTGGAGGTTTGTTGAATCCACTGTTTCAAGCTCCTTCAATGTCCGATTCGATGTCGATTACAATTACTTCAACGAACTATATCATTTCACCGTCTTACCGTCGGCCACGACCTCAGTTTTGCTATCAGTTCCGGTACCAGTACGTTAATGCCGGAAATGTATTGTTTAATAGCAAAAAGGGCACGCGAGATCGTGTCAGTTTGTTGAATCGAATTCGAGCTTACTCCGAATCTAAGGTATCTGAATTACTCCTTTTTAGTTTTTAATTGTATAATTATTTTGCTATATATGTGGTTTTTGTGAAATGTTTTTATGAACCAAAAGAGGATCGGAATCAGTTCTTTGTGATGATCAAATTGGCATGATCTCGTTTGATGCATTAATTGAATTATACTAGCAACGTAATATGATCCTTCTCTACTTCATGTCTTCTTAGGGAAAGGCATAATTGAGGTCAAACTGTAAAGGTAGTTGAGAATTGACGAAAAGCCGCTCTCAGAGTTAATTGGGTTGTTGCATTCCTTTTTGTTTTTTATGTTTTTTTTCCTGACAATCAGCGTTCCTTTTCTTCTTTCTTTTTGACATTTTCACAACAATATAAAGCACAATGAAACACATGTACAATAAATCAATAATTGATTGATTTCAAATGCTGATTACTCAGAATTTTTCAACTTTAAAGCTCACATAAATTATCTATATGACCAATCAAAATTTTGATAATTACATGACTTCGTAACAATTAAATTTAGTAGTGGTTTTGAAGTTAGATAACGAGGTCTTTTTTGGATATTAATTGTGTAAGACCCTATGATTCAGCTATCACTTATCAGTGTCAGTTTCATGACTTTTTTTTCTTATCAAAGGTTTAAAAGCATGATATAGTAAGCTTGTATATTGATGAAAAGATAATGACTTTTCCAACATAATCTCAAGTGTAGACAGAAGAAAAGGAAGTAAGAAAGTATTCACCTATCCTCGAGAGTCAGTTGGTATCAGAGAAGAATGTATCAACTGCAGAATTGAAGGCGATTCCTGATATTTGGAGATCTTCAGCAGAAAAATTTGGTGATCGGGTTGCATTGGTGGATCCACATCATGACCCGCCTACTCATATGACATACAACCAGGTCTTCTTCCCTTTTACTTTTTTCGGAAGTAATGGAATCTTTATTAAAAACTCCAATCAATTTAATTTGAACGTTATTTGCAGCTAGAGGAGGATATTTTGAATTTCTGTGAAGGTTTAAGAGTTATTGGAATCAAACCATGTGAAAAAGTTGCACTCTTTGCTGACAATTCATGCAGATGGCTTGTTGCTGATCAAGGTAGATACATTGAATTCATGATTTCTTCTTCTTCTTATTCCTTGTGTTGATACACATGAAACTACAAACCACATGTATGGTTATATTTTCTTTTAAATTTTAATTTAAAACTATATAGTAAAAGTAACAAGTTTGGGTGTAGGTATTATGGCTACAGGAGCAATAAACGTTGTGAGAGGATCCAGATCATCTGTGGAAGAGCTCTTACACATCTACACTCATTCTGAAAGGTTAGCATAAAAGTTAAATTACTTTTAACTTCAAAACCGAAAGAAAGTTTATAAAAGTATAAATAGACTCATATTTCCTCATGTCAACCATTTTCTTTCTTTGGATAACAGTGTTGCACTTGTTGTGGATAATCCTGAATTATATCATCGGGTTGCAACGGGATTTAATTCAAAGGCATCTGTTAGATTTGTGATCTTACTTTGGGGGGATAAATCATCATTAAATAGCCATAGCCATAGCCATATGATGGAGGGAATCCCTGCTTATACCTACAAGGAGATTATAGATATTGGCCATCAACATCGTACGCTTTTGCTTGATTCACATGATGCCTGTAAGTCAAATCCACCACTTCGGAATTGGAATTGGAGATTCCATTCCATACTCCATAGCATGTTTTGGTGTCTGTTGACTGACTATGTGAATCTTTAGGTGAAAAGTATGTTTATGAACCCATCACGTCTGATGATGTGGCTGCTCTTATATACACAAGTGGGACCACTGGGAATCCAAAAGGAGTAATGCTTACACATAGTAATCTTTTGCATCAGGTACTACAAATGTCTCTTTTGCCCCATTCGTTTGATCAAATTTTCATGTCTTCAAGATATTATTATGCTTTTATACTTTTTGTAGGTTAATAATTTGTTTGACATTGTCCCTGCGGGGCCCGGGGATAGATTTGTAAGTATGCTTCCACCTTGGCATGCATATGAACGTGCTTGTGAGTATTTTATACTTTCTTTGGGAATTGAGCAAGTATACACAAACGTGAAATACTTAAAGGTATTTTTTTTTATCCCATTTGGAATTTCTTAAATCCAGAATATTCCCATTCTATTTTGTGATTTAAATTCTTTTTAGTTATTTTCGTTGTAGGATGATTTGCGACACTATCAGCCACAGTACATGATATCTGTCCCTCTAGTATTTGAAACTTTATACAAGTACATCTTCTCTGTTTACTCTTTAAAACTTTACAATTATTCAATGATGTGAGAAATAACAATGTACTTTCATCAAATTGTTTATGATGAAAGAAAATTTTGTAATATAAAGAAAGTAGATTGTTATTTCTTGTATTTACTTGTTTCTATTATGCAGTGGGATTCAGAAACAAATATCCACCTCATCTGCTATCCGTAAGGTGATTGCATTATCATTGATAAATATCAGTTTGGTGTACATGGCGTTCAAAAACATATATCAGGTTCAAACCTTTTAGCAATTTATTGACTTTTGACTTTTTTGTGTTTGTGCATGAGGGAATTTACCTTTGGTTAATTTTATATATACTAATTAGTCTTCATGTTGTTTTATAGGGAGAATGTTTGTCAAGAAGTCAGAAAGAACCTTCTTACATTGGTGCAACATTGGATTGGATATATGCACGGATTATTGCTGCCTTTTTGCTCCCTTTACATTTATTGGCAAACAAACTTGTTTACAGTAAAATTCATTCGTCTATTGGGATTTCAAAGGTTTAATACATTATCCTTATGTCATTCTGTTGTCTGCTGTCTGTTGTCTGTTGTAGCTGAAATTTACTATTCCAACCGAAAATATGTGACAAAAACTCACTATTGATCTGTTGTCTGTGAAAAAGACGTGAATGCCCTTGTTATCCTGATAATTTTTACATAGGATGTCTAGGATTGTAAAAGTTGTTTGAAGAAGATTTAAACAAACTTCTAAATGTGATATCTGTTGGCATTCGACAGGCTGGCATATGTGGAGGTGGAAGCTTACCGTTACATGTTGACAAATTCTTCGAGGTTTATAAATTCATTATTTGTTTTTCTAATATGTTAATTACCAGATTAAAGCACAGATAAAAAAAATTGTCGTAATTGTAATGTTTTTACAGGCAATTGGAACAAAAGTCCAAGTTGGGTATGGATTAACAGAGTCATCTCCTGTCATAGCTGCTCGACAGCCATATTTAAATGTAATATACAAATCCAGATGTGAAATTTTATATATAGATTTTATATTATATATATATATATATATATATATAAAGAATGAGAAAATGATAAATGTGAGACTTGAAGGTTCTTAGATCGGTTGGGCGTCCAATTCGAGATACAGAAATAAAAATTGTGGATGATGAAACCGGTGAAGACCTTCCCCACGGTTCAAAGGGAATAGTCAAAGCCAGGGGCCCACAAATCATGCAGGGTTATTACAAGGTAAGGATAAAATGGTTTATTGAGTCTAGAAAAGGAATAGACCCATTCAACTACTTTACCCATTCAGCCAGTCAATGGGGAAAAGAAAAACCAGGTGTAATTTTTTAAGAAAAAGATGATTAAATTAAAATTAGTGATGGTGATGGTGATTATTTTAATTGAAATAGAATGAGGTTGCTACAAAGAAAGCAATAGATGAGGAAGGGTGGTTGAACACGGGGGATATCGGTTGGATTTCCACTTCCCATTCGTTAGGCCGAAGTCGTAATTCTGGTGGCATTATTGTTCTCGAAGGCCGTGCCAAGGACACCATTGTCCTTTCTACAGGTTAAAAAAAATAAAAATAGAAAGACAGTTTCTTTTATGTATTTATTGTTTTTTTTTTCAAGTTTATTTGAATGTTGGTTTTTGAATGGTTACTAGGGGAGAATGTTGAACCGGAACAAATAGAAGCAGCAGCCATGAGAAGTAATTTAATTCAACAAATAGTTGTTATTGGTCAGGTAACGCTTCAATTTTTTAAACCTTCGTTCCCAGTTTCTTTTCATTTTCCCTTTAATAAACTAGTAAATTACGTTTTTCATCCCCAAGTATAGCTGATTTCTGCAAGTTTGGTTTCTTGCAATTTTGGTCCTTATTTGAGGTTCTTGTAACCTATTCAGTCCCTGATCCAAGTAAAATGACTAGTTTTGGTCAGTTGCTCCTCGAGTACAGATGATTTTTGCCATTTTGGCCCCAAAATATAGTCATTTTACTTGGAAAAGCGTTACAAATAAGGAGAAAAACTGCAAGAGAAAAGTTTTGGGGACCTAAATTGACAAAAGCAGCTATAGTTAGGGACCAAAAATGTAATGCATATACTTATTTTTATGTTTGAACTTTGATGTTATAAATGACAACTAGGATCAACGTCGTCTTGGAGCTATAATTGTTCCAAATAAAGATGAAATTGTTTTGGCATCAAAAAACGTGTCCATGTCAGATTCTGGTAATGCTCAACTTACCAAAGAGAAAATGGCTGCCATCTTATCTCAAGACCTTCGTAAATGGTAACCAACCAACCAACTTTACTTTATCTCAAACATATTTTAACTAAATTTAGGCTAAATAAATGCTACAAATAGCATGCTAAAAGTTTTGAAAATCCACCCAATTATTACATTGAATTTCATGCATGCATGCAGGACATCAGATTGCTCATTTCAGGTGGGACCCATTCTCGTCATTGAAGAGCCTTTTACGGTAATTCCACATCCATTTTACCTTCTTTTTTTTTTTTTTAAATACTTTTAAGTACGTGATGATTCTGAGGTTTCTCCCATTAAGTCCTAAATTCTTACAAATATATTTTAAGATTATTTATCCGGGAAAAAATAGAGAGCCTTCACTTAGCAATAATAACCTTAGATTTAAAGACATGCAGACATAATTAATCTTTTTGATAAAATAATTTCAGATTGATAGTGGTTTGATGACTGCAACCATGAAGATCCGTAGGAACCAGGTTGTGGAACTATATAAAGACCAGATACATGATCTATATAAGTAAAATATCTTGTAGTACGTTTAATATATTCAGAAAAATCCAAAATGTCTCACCCCTAATAATCTTTATTTGGTTTCTATTTATCTATTTCTAACTTATGAGATATCTCATTTTGTTGCCATGGTATTACAATTTGGTTTTGTCACACTATATTACAGAATGACCTCTTTCTGAATATTTATTTATCACAAAGAATAGCTGGAGAAATTGCTTTATGACAAACATTTCACAATTTTGTAATAATTATATTTTTCCAAAACTCATTTGCAAATTTGATGGTTATTTTACATAGAACACCATCTGGTTTTGTTATTTAGGGTTGTTTGGGATTATTTGTTTTTTAAGCACATCTCGTATAAACTATTTCATACTGGTGTTATTTTATCAGTTATGTATATAAAAAGATAATGAAATTAATAAAGTACATTATAATTTTAATTTGCATATGTTAACAAATTAGATTAATTGATAAAGGATAACAAACTTGTAAAATATACTACTATGGGAAAATGTCACTGTAACCCAATAAACTTTTAGATTTTGGTTTAAATGGTCCCTGTGATATTTTTTACATTATAAGGAAACGAATTCATGTTTTCAGGATTTAAAATGTCATTATCAAGAATGTGAAGGGGTCACCCAGTGAACCCCTTCCTTTCCATCATGTACCATTAGACAAGTAGGCCACTTCATTTGCCACCTGTCTGAATATTTGAGATGTGATGGGATCGATGAATTTCTCTATATTGCAACCTCTATGAATCATATTTAGATCAAGAGACCCTGCCAAAAATGTGAATCGACTCCAACGTTTTGTAAACCTCCCGTGATTGTGATCTCGAGAGTCCTCAACCAGATTTTTTATGAGAATATGACGGATAGTCCTTACAAGCCCTCAATTCAACATTGTAGTGTTCTTCTAAGAACCATTGCAGGCAACATTTCACCAAATTTGGATCTTGTTTTTCGGGTAGTAAATAAATTTGAAGCCACAGGAAACTCTCTTTCAAAAAGCGTTTATGATGGTATTCATAGATCATTAACAAGTGTAGGTCAATTTGATGAAGCCAAGAAGATGATGGCAACCATAAAAGATGTAGGATACGAACCCGATAACATAACCTACAACCAATTAATCTTTGGCCTATGTAAAGCCAGAAGACTAGAAGATGCAGCCAAGGTGCTCGATGAAATGCAAGCAAATGGTTGCAATCGTGACGTCAAGACATGGACGATTCTAATCAAGGGACATTGTTCAGCCAATGAAGTTGACAAAGCTCTGATCATTTTCGCCAACATGATCGAGAAAGGTTGCAAGGCTGATGCAGATCTTTTGGACGTTTTGGTAAATGGGTTCTTGAGTCAAAACAAGGCCATTGAAGCACACCAGGTGCTTGTTGAAATGACTGAGACAATACAGGTGGGGTGAAACCATGGCAGGCGACCTACAAGAATTTGATCAAAAAACTGTTGTTAGAGAGGAAATTTGAGGAGGCCTTGAAGCTCCTAAGGCTGATCAAAAAACTACTTGTAAGGACTATCCATCATATACTCGTAAAGCTCTACTGCTTCTTTCTTGAACATTCAGGACGTTGGGTTTGATTTAGGCTTAATTTCATCTGGGTTCAATTTTTAATGGTGGGGGTTTGATTTAGGCTTAATTTCATCCTCCAACCATAAACACATGATCTTCATCCCCTGATCTGATTTGGGCGGTGGGGAAGGGTCAACTAGTGAGTGAAGGGGAAGGGAGGGCTTTCACCGGCTGGTGGTTGAAGTAGAGATGAAGCAGAGCAACAACAAAAGGAGGCATCGTCGTTGACAGTAACCAAAGCAACGATATATAGGGTTCGGTAAACAGGGCGTTCATAGGTTTCAAATCTGTGATTTTTTTTTTTTGAAGTAATGGTGAGGTTTGATTTGGGTTTAATTTTAACGGGGAGCAACGATATATAGGGTTGGTAAACAGGGCGTTCATAGGTTTCAAATCTGTGATTTTTTTTTTTTTTTTTTTTGAAGTAATGGTGAGGTTTGATTTGGGTTTAATTTTAACGGGGATACCTTCATCTTCATTTTCATACCCATGATAAAAAAAGGCTTTCATTTATCTTAGAAAGAAAACCAGGGTGGAAGGAAGGAATGAGATGATATGAAGAAGGAAATAAGGGAAGAAGGTGGTGTGGATCAATATTTGTTGACTATGACCGAAACAGAGGTATATAATTACAAATCAACATATTATTTCCTATGTGACACTCTTTTTGACATCAGTAACCTATTATTACAGGTGACTTGGCCAAAGTAACCGGTAAGAGTTGAATTCGTTCCCTTCTAATGCAAAAAAAAATATCATAAATGATCATTTAAACCAAAACCTGAAAGTTCGTTGGGTTTCAATGACATTTTCCCTACTAATATTATTAAGGGATAAAATGAAATTTGATTAAGATGAGGGGTGGAAATTTGGCCTTACTGGGTAGCCACCGTTCACTTTGGAAGGCTGATTGTGAATGTTGCGTTTGAAAAAACAGGTTGTATGCGTATAGTACCAAAAACTCCCATCTCTACTTTGTCTCTCTCTGAAATGTGAACCGAAGTAGACAAATTGCATGTTTAATCCGGAAAAATATAAAATATAAAGTTTTTTTATAAGATTTTTTTTTAAAACAACGTAATTTTTTTTTCTATTTATTCAAATTTAAAGAAAAACTCTCTCTCTCTCTCTCACACACACACACATTTATGTCTGGTGGCACACTTGTTCGCATTGACCGGTCAGTAGTGCTTCACGCCTGACGACACCACGGTCCGGATTAAAAAATAAATAAATATTAAAAATAAATTAGCGTGGTACCCAAAACAACATTATCATTTGCATAAGCGGTTGATGGTTATACACTTAGGCTTGAAGGAATGGCCTTGCGAACAGTCTCGTCAAGAGACGCTATACCACCCCTCAATGTTCACTGTGAAGCTCGTTAGGAGGAGCTCGCTAACACCCCGTTCCCGAGTTCAACTTAACGAGAGAAAGGAAAGTAAATGGGTGGAAATGAGAAGAAAATAAAAAAAAATTTGGTGTTCCCGAGTTTCATTAAAGGAAGGAAGTGGGGGGAAATGGAAGGATCACTTTCCTCCTATCTTTCCTTCCGATTTGGGAGGATTTGGAAGGAAAGAAGAAAATGATTAATTTTTTTTCCACTTCTCTCCAACTCGGGAACACAAAAGAAAATTTTGTTTTCCTTTTCTTTCTCTTCTTTTCTCTTATGACTTTCTTTTCTATTTTTTTCTTTTCTTCTGATAAACTCGAGAACGGGGTGTAAGGGTGTAGCGAGAGGAGAGAAAGAAACGGGACAATGTGATTGGCAAATGAGTTTGTTTTCAAGAAATCGAAATTTGCAGGTTACAAAAAGAGAAAGATTATCAAGTTGTTCATCACACCGAGGAAGAAGACACAGATTCACGATTTGACAGTTTTGGTCCCTTGATTTTAGCTTTATGATAGATCCAACTTATAATTTCTTTTACAATTTAAATTTTTAGAATTAGCACAAAACCCTCTGCAAAACTTTATTGTAACTTTTTTAATTTAATATGAAATGTTGCGTTTTAAAATATATAATTTATTTGATATTAATTGATTGTGGTTTAAAAAATTTATTTAAATTAATTAATTTAAAAAAAAAAAAAAAAAAGTTAAAATGTTAGAAGTATTATCAGTGACTAAGAAGTATTATCATGACTATGAAATACTAAGATTTAGATATCAAGACAATTAGTCAAAAAAGTGATAAAGGAAAAGTGTAGGATTTTTAGCACGTCAACGTTAGCATACAACGTTCACAATCGTAACAAGGGCCATGAAATTAGAAACCTAAATCCGTCATGAATGCATCACCAGTTACTTCAACCTCTCCGTCTCTGCGCCAGTCGCCGCCTTACATCTCACGGCAAGACTCTCCATGCCAACATCCTAAAGCTCGGCCTCGACCGCTATGGAGCCCTTCCGAATACCCTCATTTCCATGTACGGCAAATGCGGCCTCATCAAAGACGCCGTCCAACTGTTCGACGAAATGCCTCAACGAGACGTAGTATCATGGGCTTCTATTCTCACAGCCTACAACCAATCCAACCTCCCTAACCATGCCCTCTCCCTCTTCCCCTTCATGTTCACTCGAGATTCCTTGCAACCCGATCACTTCGTTTTCGCTAGCTTACTGAATTCCTGTGCTGCCTTAAACGCGCTACGAATCGGACAACAATTGCACGCCCAATTCATGTTATCCCCATTCTCATCTGACGATGTTGTCAAATCCTCCTTAGTTGACATGTATGCAAAATGTGGATCGGTGGACACTGCACGTTCTGTTTTCGATTCAATTTCTTCAAAAAATCCGATCTCTTGGACTACTCTGATTTCCGGGTATGCTCGGAGTGGAAGAAAATCAGAAGCTGTCGACCTTCTTCGAGACATGAAGGAATCAGATCTTTTCTCATGGACTGCTTTAGTCTCTGGATTAATACAAAGTGGTCACTTAATCAGCGCCTTTCATCTCTTCATCGAAATGAGAAAAGAAGGAATCAAAATCATCGACCCCTTTATTCTCTCCACCATCATCGTAGCTTCTGCTAATCTCTCATCACTCGAACTTGGTAAACAGGTTCATTCTTTAGTTCTCAAACTCGGTTTTCAATCCAGTTTATACATCAGCAACTCCCTCATCGACATGTATGCAAAATGTAGCGATATAATCGCAGCCAAAACTACATTCCATGGTATTCTTACAAAAGATGTAGTCTCATGGACTTCAATCATCGTGGGGTTAGCTCAACATGGAAGAGCTCAAGAAGCATTATCGCTATACGATGACATGGTATCCACTGGAATCAAACCAAACGAGGTAACATTTATTGGCTTGATTTATGCTTGTAGCCATGTAGGTTTAGTTTCCAAAGGTCGTGATCTTTTCAAATCGATGGTTGAGTGTTACAAATTAAACCCTAATCTTCATCACTACACATGTTTACTAGATCTATATAGTCGATCAGGGCATCTAAACGAGGCTGAGAATTTACTCAACTCCATGCCTTTTGAAATCGATGAGGCTGTTTGGGCTTCTTTTTTGAGTTGTTGTAAGCGATTTGGGAATACCCAAATGGGAATTAGGGTTGCTGATCGTGTAATGGAGTTAGGTGTTAAAGATCCTTCAACTTTCATAGTGTTATCTAATGTTTATGCGGGTGCTTTTATGTGGGAAAAAGTAGCAAAAGTTAGGAAGATGATGGTGTCCATGGATGTAAAGAAAGAACCTGGTTATAGTTGTGTTGATTTAGGTAAAGAAAGTGAGGTTTTTTATGCGGGTGAGATGTGTCATGTAATGAAAGATGAGATTTTGGTTTTGCTTAAGGATTTAGATGAGGAAATGAGGAGAAGAGGATATGTTCCTGATGTTAGTTTTGTGTTGCATGATTTTGGGGATTAAAGAGGAAAAAACAAAAAAAAAAATTAATTGGGGTTGCTTGTAAACAGTTTTTGAATGAATTTTTTTTCTTAATCTTTAGTTTAGTTTATGTGTTAAATATGATTATAAACATAAGTGAGAAGATTTATCTTTTAGTTTATAGTACGTGGTAATCACGATTATAAAAATAAATAAATTTTTATAGTAAAAAGTCATAATCATTAATCAATTATTTTCAATAAATTGTTAATTAAGATATTTAGATCATATCCCGTAGAAACCACACAGTTACAAAAATAAATAAATTTTTATAGTAGGAAGTCATAGTTATTAATTTGTTGTTTTTAATAAATTAGTAATTAAGATATTTATGTTTTATTATTATGTAAAACTATAATCGTTGATTAAAATAAAATTATAATTATTGATTACTAAGTATTTTTGAATTTCAAAATGGTAATAAATAATGTTAATTTTAAGGGATTTTGAAGAATTTAAATTTAATTGTAAAATAATAGAAAAAGGCACGTGTCATTTTTAGAGAGTGAGATAAAGAAAATTAAAAATTATAAAAAAAGTTATTTTTAGAGAGTGAGAGAAAGAAAATAAAAAATTATAAAAAAAAATAACAAATGACAAACAAACTATATTTTTTATCAGTGTAGGAAGATAGGAAGATTGTTTTATTTGAATGCAAACTTTTATAAGATTGTATGTATTAAAAATACATTTAGACGATTTGTCTAATTTAACTGCTGTTTCATTTTTTTAAAATCTGGCAATTAAAATGATATATAATTTATATTGGCAAACTCATAAATAAAAAGGCAATGATGTATAATTTATTTGGTATGTGCAATGGTAGGAAATGAATGTGAATTTTAAAAAAAAAAAAAAAAAAAAAAAAAAAAAAAAAAAAAGTTATGAGATTTTTAAGTTTTCATTTTTATATGATTTTTTTTAATTAATTATAAATATAATAAATGTCAAATTTAGAGTTTAAAATCAGGTGTGTCCAATTTAAGTGAGTGGGTAAAGTTCGGTTAACAAGCATGGTTGCCAATAATATCATAGATCAAATGCATTTTCAAAAATACTTGCAAGTGTCTTACAATTGTTCTTGATCAATTTTCATGTTATAAAACAATCCAAAAGTGTATCGTTAGTAAAGCTATCAAACAAATCTTACTCAATGTATGACGGTGTATAATACTAATTCATTAATTCATCATTCATCTTATCCTACACATTGTTCTTTGTTATTCATGTCTATTTTCTATATTATAAATTGTTCTTTATTATTCATGTCTATTTTCTATTATTAGAGTCTAGCGATTGGGATGTATAATTATATAAAGAAGATTCAACATTCAAACTTTTCATATCCAAAATATTGTTAGTGTTCCATAATTTACCCCATGTGATAGGCTTTGTGTTGTTCATCCATTTTTTATTTTCTATTATTCTTAACAAATCTTTTTGAATATGGGATTTTTTTTCCTAAATATGGTTTATGTAAAACATGGATAAAAAAAACTTAGAGAAAACAAACATTATTAAATGTCTAAGTTGTCTTCTCTCAAAAGCTAATATTAGTCTAACTTTATCTTGTGAGTAGCATGCATAATCATCAAGCATTCAACATATGTAAGAGTGAAGACTAAACAAAAATTATTTAAAAATGTTTGAAAATAACACACCTTATTTACAAGTAAACTCTCTCTTGCATATAAAGAGTGTTTAACAAATTAAAGAACTAAAATAATTGCATTTCATCCAACCAATCTTATCAATGATGAAATTCATCGAAAATAAAAATTTGAATAAAAAAAAAACACAATTAAATTACATCGGCATTAACAAGATTAAAAGATTGGTCAGTGGCTCAGGAATGTAATTTCATATAGAATCCAGGTTCAAAATCTGATATCCAAAATATTGTGTTTGGAGTAATTGAGATGTATGTCAAGCTAAGCCCTTCAAGTTTTGTTAAAAGAACCTTTACAACTATAGTGTAAATTAAATACAAACTTGGGGGGTCAAAGTGTACATAAAGAGAAGAAACGTAGCAGTGTCTACACATTACGACGTCGTCCTGCTGTCGTACGACGACTACCTGTAGACGGTAAAGAGTCAACTGTCATGATGTTCTTGTAAAGAGACTCCAATTTAGGGGTTTTCCAAAATCTTCAGCCGATACGACCGGAAATCTCCCAAAATGGAAGGTAATCAAGCGGTATCAGGTGGAGGAGGTGGAGGAGGACCAGCTCCCTTTCTTATAAAGACGTACGATATGGTTGACGACTCCATGACTGATGAAATAGTATCGTGGAGCACGAACAGGAACAGTTTCGTTGTGTGGAACCCTCCTGAATTTGCTCGCCTGTTGTTGCCAACTTATTTCAAGCACAATAACTTTTCCAGCTTCATTAGACAGCTCAATACCTATGTAAGTGATTACTTTTATGATTCTGTTTACATTCTCTCGTTTTTTGATCAACTGTTTAGATGAAATTCAACCTAGTTTTATCTTTAATTTATTCATTCATGTTTAGATCGTTAGTTTTATAGGATGTTTGATCGATCTAGTATTGATTTTGATGAGGACGAAAGGTTTTGAGAATCAGGTATTTTCTCGAGAATATCGTAGGATTAGCTTGAAGAAACGAAAGCCTAATTTTAGTTATCAATTTAGCTACTAGAGCAATCGACTTTCACTTTCTGAAGATGAATGATTCCGTTTAACAGGGTTTCAGGAAGATCGATCCTGAAAGATGGGAATTCGCAAACGAAGAATTCGCTAAAGATCAAAAACACCTTCTGAAGAACATTCATCGAAGAAAACCAATTCACAGCCACAGTAATCCACAATCTTCAACCATCGATCCCGAAAGAGCAGCTTTTGAAGAAGAAATCGACAAACTCACACGTGAAAAAACTTCACTCGAAAAAAACATCACGAGATTCAAACAACAACAACCAGTTTCTAAGCTCCAACTCGAAGACCTCACTCACCGAGTCAACACCATCGAAGAACGCCAAGACACCCTCCTAACATTCCTCAAAAAAGCCGCTCAAAATCCCGATTTTGTCGAGCACCTTGCTCAAAAGCTCGAATCGATGGATTTTTCAGCCGATAACAAAAAAAGAAGATTTTTCCCCGAAGATAATAATAATACTAATACCAATAGTCTCCCTCAGAGCCCATCTAGACCAGATTTTGGAAACATTTTTCATCGTGATTTTTCAAATAAACTTCGATTAGAGTTATCGCCAGCTGTTTCTGACATAAACTTTGTATCCAACAGCACTCAAAGCTCAAACGAAGATAATGGAACTGGAAGCCCTCAAATCATAGTATCTGAAAGGACACATGGCAGCCTTCCATTTAATCAAGAAACCCAAGAACTTTCAGATAGCTGCACTTCATTTGGCTTCAACATGGAATCTTCTTTCATAAACAAAACATGTTTAGATTCCAATAAAGACACCACCAAAGGCCACGATTCATGTCAATTGAATCTAACTTTAGCATCTTGTGTTTCACAAATCGACACGTGTCAGGATACCGACACAATGCCACAGTCATTTGAGGAGATCGGAAAGCCGCCTGAGTGGGCGGCTGCCGCCGCCAGAGTCCCGGAAAAGAACACAACTCCGGCGGCTCCGGTGGCACCTGCAACTGCTCAGGCGAGGGTTAATGATGTTTTTTGGGAGCAGTTTTTGACTGAAAGACCGGGTTCTTTGGATGTTGAGGAAGCGAGTTCGAATCTGAGGGCAAATTCGTCATTTGAGAATTCGAGGAATTTGCAGAATCTGACTCTTTGAGGAAGAAGCTACTTATGTATCTCCAGGTTCTTTTCTCTGTTTGTATAATAACTCTTATATATTAGTCAACTTTAATGTACATTATTTATATTTATGTGTTTACTAATTTATATGTTTAGTTTGAACTTTGAATTGAATAAGATGATGTGAAAGAATTCATTATCCTTTGATTATAGGGATAGTTAAGGTATGATAGTATTCATATTAATTTGCTTCCACTTGTAATATGTTGTATGATGAAAATTATAATGTTTGTTTTTAGCTTCAAGAAGTATTGATGCATAAAGATGAAGAATTAAAGTAGTTAAAATCATGATCATAATATATGACTTCGAGTGACCCTTTTTTTTTTGTCATATATAGGTATTTAGTTTTAAAAAAAAAAAATTATTAAGCCAATAACTATGAAAGTTAATATCAAAATGACATGGTGTTTCGTATTTCCAAATAATGTACGTTTGTCAATAGTTTTTCCATATAACTATGTGATATTTGTTCTTGTTGTGAGATATATCAATACTTTATAAAAGAGAGTTTTATCTAATAATAAAATAATATGGTATGCTATGGTAGGTTGAACTACATGTACTTATTTGTCCAAAAAGTAGCATGTCATGACTATCACAAAAATTTCAAAAGAAACCTACCCTACGTTGAAAATCAGAACCCTAAACAAGATGCCAAGCGTTTTAAGCATGATAAGACAAGACGATAGTCGGGAGCTTCAAATGTGAAAAATAATCGACAAAAAGAAAATCTTGTTACATGTGAATTAGTAGAATTCTAACATTTGATGTGTGAAATATTTGTTTAATGAGTTTAATTTAAATCGACTTGTAGAATGTTAAAAAGAAAAGGGGACAAATCAACGAATCCTACTATATACTTTTCAAGATTTGAGCTATTGGGCCAAAATAATCTGTGATTTTTGCGTATTACATTTGCGAACTTTGAAACGACATCATTTTTAAAAAAATCAAATTTTATTCATAGATGTCATATGCAAAAATCCAATTTACAGGTACAAAATTCTTTTAAAAAATCAACATTTTTTTTGGTGTGTGTGTGAGAGAGAGTCAGTCAGAGGTATTCAAAAATCATTTCCACGACAATATTTTTTAATATTGTAGTTTTACCTGCGGAAATAACAAAAGAAGATTTCTCACATCTAAAAAATCTTTTGAAAAAAAGTG